GTGGAGCTCATCCATCGTGTCAGGGCAGCAGACGGCCAAGGTCTGTACTTTCAAATACACCCCAGAACCGCCCACTGTTTTCAGTGAACTGCCTAACATTGTCCTGGGGTTCAAAACCAAGGGCTCTTAGCTCAATTATACCTGCTCATCTAGACGGATGTGAGGATGGGGGAGAGAAGCGACTGTCAGAGTTGGTATGTTCAAACCTTCTAGAACCTTCCAAATACTAGATTATTCCAGAAGTCAGTTCCTGTGGCCTAAATCACCCTATCATGCTCAAAATTAGAGGCACGAGACAATGGTACTTTTAAAGCTAGTCAATGTACACGCATCAAAAATCAAAGATATAAAAATGCATGTTAAAGGAAAATTTCAATAGGGAGAATAAACATACCTGGAAAACTGTAGATAGTTATAAGTACTTCCAAGAAGTCAAAGTATTCTATAAAACACATCAAATTAATTTGAAAAGGGCTTTTTAAAAGGGTACTTTTAAAAATGTGACCGAGAAGGATACCTGTTAGGCCTACAGGCTGCAGGTGTGAATTCTTGCTCCTCTACTAGCAATGCAGCCCTGGGGGCTCAATTGAACAGTCTATGCCTCAGGTTCCTTCACTGAAAATGGGAGTACAACACAGAGGGTACAAGTGCTCTCAATACTTCAAAAGCACCAAATTAAAGTTAAATATTTCTACTTCAACTATTAAGATGTATCATCCTTATTACCACGTTGGAAATAGGAGTCTCCTGTCACAGGGAAGACTGTTAATAAATATTTTTGAATATGTAAATATGTGCATAAATGTTATAGGTTAGGCTTGCACGTGAAATACACAAATGAACACCAATACCGCATTCACCTTTGAGAGAATGGGATTATCAATGTTTGCTAAAACGCTTTTAGAATGTCATTTCAATCCAAAAATTATGAAAAAAAATTACACGAAGTGAAGTTAAAAATATATATATAATGGATAGGGCTTTCTAAATTGTTGCTCCAGTGTTATTTCTAATGTAGACTGAACATCGATTGAACACAGAGGTTTATTAAATGCCTAAGGAAACGATTGTCAAATTTCAGAGACTTGGCATATTTAAATGCTAAGCTTGAGGAGGGCAAGACAGTTTACTGTTTTGCCAATACCTAATAAAAAAATCTAACATATATTAGATCCTGCCATGCTGGCAGAAAAAGGAGAACCAAAAAATCATTTTTCTCAATATTACTCCTAAATGGAAGGTTCAGATATAAGTTCATTGTATATAGCTTTTGCTACTTGAAAACAAAAATGACAATTCACACTTACTTTATGTAGGACTTGGGCTCGGAGTTATTTTTCCCCAGGTGAGAAATAAAAAACAATGAAACAGAAAACGACCCAATGCCTTAAACATGTGAAAGCTGTGACATGTGAGTGTGAGTGCATGTGTGTATGGTGGGAATGGGTGGGGAAAACACGCAGACTGGATTTAAATGTCTCAGGAAAATCCGACCTAAACACATCCAAACAGAAGCACTGGGCTGGCAGAAGAAATAACTGACTTGCACAACAAGATGAATCTGTCCTTGTATTGAATGTATGTATGTTTATCCAGTATTTAATTTCTAAAACTTCAGGGAAAACTAAATTGAAAAGGAAATGTTTTTTTTTTTGTAAGTGACATGTTTATTTTTTTAACTCCCAATTTACTTCCCAAATCCATACTCTCAGAATATGGACAGGACAGGCTTTCTTGTCCTCAAGACAGACCTCATTCTTTCTACTACCTGCCATTCAGATACAACATCCAACTTTCCACTGAAAAAAGCAAGGGTACCAAAACAACACCCAACCTCCGATCTGTAACAAGCTAGGCGTTTCTTATGTCCTAGAATGTTTTACAAAAATAAACAAACGTGTGGTGCCAAAACTTAATAAATAGATGTCAATCTACTTGGGCAGATTTATGACAGGAAAGCCGTACCAGAAATAAAGTGATGAGTTATAAATCAGACCACATGCACATTTATGGAACTTCCACAGCCGGAGAAAATGTTGCGAATGTTACCAAAGAAAACATTACTGCACCAAAACGTAAGAGTTCATTTTAAAATCAGCGCTTACTTTAAAATTTGTCATTGGGAAAGGGATGTTTGGGTCAGTCACTAACCAGCATTTTGACTTTCATCTCTATTTCATGTGTCCAAGGAGGAGTCTGGGGAAGTAACATGTAGTTCTACAATTCCGAGTCCAAACTGGGCATCCGCTTAGTAAGTGTTGGGACACTCATCCCAAGAGCGCTGGAGGCAGGGCTTGTCAGACACCACAGGGCAAATTCCTGCTGGCTCTCCATTCTCATTCCTTCTGGGGCTCTACTCTGGAAAGGGAGTCCACTGTCCACAGGGCAGACATTCTGCTAAACATAATACTGGGGATCCTGCAGCCACAAGTCACTACTAGGGTACTTTACTGTATTAAACAAAACTCTTAATGTACAGCAAAATGTGAACTGAATTGTATGCCGAAAATTCTTAAGTAAATGAATCAAAACTCCACAGGGGTTGTTAAAAAGGTCTTAGGATTTCTTAGTGTTAGGCAGCATTTTGCCCAAGACTGAGACAATATTCATTGTCTTTTTTTTTTTTTACCAGACGTTTTTTTACCATAGCATCTTCATCACCAAATCTTAGCTACAGGAAAAAGAAAAGAGTAGTTTTGCTAAGCTCAGCATATATTTTGTGTTTAGGCCTTAGAGAGCCTTCACTTCTCATCTTTTAACTAGTAACTTACGACAGAAAATAAATAAAATTGGAAAATAGTTCATTATTAAAGCATTCTGAATCGATATCAATCAGATCATAAAATTTATTCTTGAAAAAGAACAGAAGATGATGTAGCAGAATATGTCTCTCATTTAGAGAATAGGTTACCCTTTTGTTAGTATTAAATATTGAATTAATTTCTAATATTTGCTGCCACCACTAAACAATGCACATTTTTTTTCAAAAGACTTTTTTATGGAAATGAGGACCATAATTACAACTGACACTAAAGTTACAGTCTAGTGTCACCACTGAATGATTACAGCGAAGTCTCCAGACACACATGGACGCAGGTTCTTTTAAGGGCTTCTCTACAGAAACGCACCAACGAATGACTCCAAAACCAATTCCCGAATTTCATTTTGTCATTCGGTTTAACGTTATAATTGCCTGTATTCAATTCATTCCCCATGATAACATTAAGTAAATTTACAATTATATTTATAAGCTACAGTAAGGTGGAGTTTACTGGCTGAATGCTGATGTTATTTAACAATTAGTTCTCACTGCCTATATCGATAAATACTTGTACTAGCCTCCTCTCCTCCAGCTCACAGTAAATGCATTTAATCTTTGCCTGAATTTCCTTCGAAAATCAATTGGACACTTGGTAACACGACGATACATGAGATTCCTATCGTGGGTGTTTCTACATGCTTTAACTCTGAATAAAACAAAGTTTATTTCTAGGACATTTCAAATTTTCAAATGCTAGTCACCAAGTGACATATTATCTGGAATTGTCTGCAAAACCCAAAGTCCCAGAGGCAAGAGTCACCTGCTTCATTATATCATCCTATTGATTTAACTGTGTTTATAATTAATTTAAATGACTTTATTTAGATGGGTATAAATTCACATCCTTTCTACTCCAAGGGGGAGAGAGGAAGGAAAGGAGATGAGCTAAAATGACAAAAAGAGTTTCCTTTGAATTTCAAGATACTGACACTTCACAACACAGAGAATTATTTTACCTGTGGCTATAGCTCACCTTAAAAGAACATAGACAGCCACCATTAACTATTAACTTAATTCATTTGCTTCATTCCTGTAACTGCTAACAAACAGCAAAGTAAAGCTGATGAACCTGAAACGTGTGGAGTTTCCATGAAACAGTAGCACGAACGCCCACAAGCTTCCTTCTAAAGGTACCCAGTACCTTCATAAGCACCAGAAACACATTTAAGACTAGGCAACTGCATAAATGTTTACATCCGAGTCACACAGCTCAAGTTCAAATGACTGGCAAACTAACATGCAGAATTACATTTTAAACTTGCATTAGAAGAAAAACTTAAAAATCTAGTTAGATCGGCACTTCAATTATACTGTATCACGGATGACCTTACACTGCACTAGGGCGCTGAGGGATGGCTTCAGTGCACATTTATGCAGTGACCACACAGGTAGCCCAGCACAAGCAGGTTCGTAGCATCCTTGGGTTTTTTGTATTTAAAATTAGCTAAGCACTATCAGAAATTGATGTTCAGTTTTACATTTAGAACGGGGCAGTCTCTATCGGCAGTTTTACTAGCTCTCCATCAAAATTCATTCTAAAAATCAAGCACAGTAGTAATAAATCTTTGTCTCATTTCAAAAATCCCTGATGGTACGACAGACATCTCAGAGGGGAAAAATAATGGTAAACCACTGCCCCAAAACTGGTGAGAAAATCCAAGCAGTAACTACTCAACCTTTAGTTGCAGGAAAGAGATTTCTATTCTTTTATAATTATTTTTACTAAATGTTCTTTGTCATTTTTTATAAAGTATTTGAACATTGAACTCCTACTTTATTCAGGCAGCGTGAGGCAGTTTTCCACCCTAGCACTTACAATACCCATTCACCAAAAGCTCCTGGAAATGATACCGCCTTCCCTCTTCCTTAAATAAGGGCACTCAGGAGGATGTAGTTCCCGTGCTCGGGACACTCAGAAAAGGAATCAACAGACAAGCCAGCACAGTCTTCTGCTGAGCTGCTTTTCCTTCGCTCTTTTTTCCCAAGGGAGAAAAAGTGTAAAGGCTCTGTTCAAAATGAATCAGGCGTATTTTTAGAAGTCACCAGTGGTCAAGCCACTTTGTATTTCTGGCAGATTCTTGCTTCAGATACCAGTTGCTTTAGACTATGGAGCCCCATCGAATCTCAAATCAGGGCTGCTCATGATGTCTTATTGCTTATTACATGCTATTCTTAGTACCTGTGAAAGGGGGCACTCCTTGGCCAACGAACTCTGATTCATATCTTTCAGTAAGTCCTTCAGAGCATTCCTCACTGTGGTGTGCGACCACTGTTCAGGAGGCAAGTCTTCGAGTTTGGGGCAACTATTTGAGACATAGATTAGAAAGAGGATTATTACAAGATTGCATCCCGCTGCAAAACATTCCTTTAAGACAGACAGATTTCATTTTGCGCATCAAACAGATGCATCTGGAGATTGCTCTCGGTCTCCTGATTGTTCCGATTAGTTAATTACTTTATACAACACATCTGCTGTATCGATGCATGAATTATACATCAGCTGCCTGTGGTGGCTATTTTTTCATGTTACTTCTACCTTCCTGCTCTGATGCGCTTGGGAAGACAATTTAAGGTGTACTGCTTTCTCACCAGCCATCGGGAAAAGCATTAATGTATTAACCATTTTCCTTTTGTGACTCTGTTCAGACGAAGTAAAATGGCAAATAAAATATATAAATAAATAGGATCACAGCAATACTGAATAAGGCATTCTTTCACAAAATGTACACAGATGGCACTGCTCATGATATGCAAAAATATTTTTCTCTTAAGTAAACTTTATGTAAAATGCCTTCTTGTAATGCATCATTTAATTGACTAAATACAAAAAGTCTTATCTTTTGATAACCTGCACAAATGTACAGATTTTTTTTGGGGGGGTGCCTTTAAATTCTACACTGAAGTTAGGAAAATAAAGAAGGAGGAGTAAAGAAACAAATCCATTTTAATTAACCCTTCTGAAACACAGAGGAAATAAAAATGGAAGGTTGACCAGAGATGCTCTATTTTGACAGATCAGGTAAGTAGAACGCTCTCCCCTGGAACGCTGTCCTGACTCACCTGTGTAGCTGAATTTTCAGTGTGACCACATGATACACATCTTGAAGCATATCTGCTACCGTAGCATCGGGGGCATCCGTCACGTAAGACAGTGGAACTGGATTCCACTTTCCAACCTGGATTAGCCCTATTCCAGATAAAGAGACTATGTCACTAAATAGTTTACCCTTCAGATAATTAATCTGGCAGGTTTTTTTTATTTTTTCCATGGCCCCCACCACAAGCAACGTTGTTATTTCTGTCTGAATGATTCCCTTCCCTCTAAAAGGCAGGTCAATGAAAAGATTCACAGCTTAGCTTTCCAAATTGTGAAATTATGTAAATGACTGTAGAGTTGTTTATTATTTTGGAAATCAAACCCCATCAATAAAAACTATGCATAGGCCACATTTTCCTAACTTACAGGAAGTTCTAATAAGACATAGCTGAACCAGTTCTAAATGACTACAATTTAGATAAGGTTCTCTACTGCAAAGGGAATCAGCATTGAAAAATACTTTACAGCCCATAAAACCATCAGAAACAGAATAAAAGAAACAGAACTAGATATTCAGTCATAAATGCAAATTGACTCTCAACAGTCCATCTGCTCAAATACGCTCCTCACTTCCTTGTGGGTCCTCAGTGGAGCAGATTATTAAGGTCAATAAGCATACTAATGATTCAGCTGAAGTAATTTAAAAAAAAAATCTACCTCGACATTCCACATGAGCAAAATGTGTGTTAACTAAACCAAACTGAATTAAGCCAATTTTTTAAAGCCACAGTTTATAAGGAACCAATGTAATGCACAGGCTGCAGTTCTTTGCACAAAAATATTCATTGCTTTCTCTGCAAGGTAAACAAAGGATGCCAAGCAATGTTTCCAGCCCCACGTATGCATCATTTACCTTTGGCCTGGGCAGCAGAGCTATGCGAATAACCCAGAGACAGCAATGCCATTTCTATCAGCTGGTTGAAAAGCATATCCTTTCTCACCAACACAAATTCCGCATGCTCCTCCTTGCAATCATATTCAATGGCGTTTTCATAATGTTCCACCACACAAAAAACGGGTAGCATGGTTCCTATCAGAGAGACAGAGAAAAAGACATGCACACCAACAATCTTCAGAAATACAGTCTGTGGGAGGAAAAACTAAGCCATGAAAATAAATCTCCACCACAGTGAGGGAAGGGGAGAGACTGTTTCCAAGGCAGACAGGACACAGAAACACAGGCAGGCACGCACAAACATACACAATCTTTTCCCTTTGAAAGTTGTAAGAGAAATGTTTAAAGAGAATGTGAACTCGGTCCTACAGAGTAAGTGGGGCTCTGCTTTAATTAAAATTAGTTAATGCAGAATTACCTTTCTGATCAAATCATAATGCTGACGTGAGAGGTCTCTCGTCTGACCTGTTGTGATGGTATAGTGTGCAAACGTAACTCACTACAGTTGTCTTCAGAAGAACCAACTTCATGCCTCCTATAAGCTTTTGTTAACACTAAACTCACCCTGTTTGTGCCGAAACAAATTATCCTCATAAGATTATTAGCATTTTTCTTCCTCTTTAAAAATTTTACTGCTTTTATAGAAGAAATGCAAAAACTTAACCAAACTGATGCTCAAATACATGAAATATATAACTTCAATATATGCCTAATGTAGATAAATAAGATATTTATGGCTATTCATTTAAACTACTTGACTACAAAAAAAAATCACAGAAACTATATGCCCTTAAAACAAACAATCTTTGTTATAGCAAATGAGATAAAAATAAGAGATAAAAGGAAACTGGCCTCATCAGGACATATTAGTATAAAGGAATCTGCATAGATTTCTCTCTTTATTTACTTTAATCCAATGTAATAACTCAGTAGTCAGATGATTAATAAGTGCAGGCCACACTAGTGTTAGAACGAGGCTTCTAGAAACCGAAATCACAAATACTGTAGTGCTCAAGGTGTCTATGCAGTGCACTGTCAGACTTCCAATGGTAAACGGAAAAGGGTTAAAAGCAGATGCATCTGAACTGCTCTGTGGCAAACTGCCAGGAGGGTATCATCTTTAGCATAAATGATGACAAAGGTTACTCAAACAGGGCACCCAGGATCCTCAGTTAGTCCTATAATAATAATGCCTCTGTATAAGCCCTGCCCTCTGCACTCACAGAATCCTACCAACTTCTGAACATGTCTAGTATATGTGAACCAGGGCGAGGAAAAATCAGGATTTTTCTACTGGCACCAGAGATGCCCTTTAAAAATGCTCCATTCTGCGAACAAAAGCTGGCAGTAAAACGGCTACATTTTCTACAAGTGCCTTCTTCACCAAAGGTTTAGCGACCTGTTTACAAGAGATTCTAGCTCCAACAAAACAACAACAACAACAAAAAAACCCTTTAGGTTTACTTAGAAAAGCTCACTAACTCCTTCAGAGGTACCCCACAGGCTAGGCACGAAAAACAAGCCATAGAGCTTGCCAATAATCTTGTCATTCATTCAGCTGATTTGTACCAGAGGGAGCACCTGTCAGGGATCAGCAGAAGATTTGGGGAGACCCCAGCAAAAATAGCAATATACGAACTGGTGGTTTCTTTCTTGGCTTGAAGTTATTTTGGCAAAATTTCCTAAATAAATAAACAAAAACATCCAACCCCTTTTTCTTAAGTAGTGCTTTCTCGTCTGAGCCATAATTTTTATCCAGCACCTGTCCAACAGAAACCATGCACAAAAAATAAGATTAAAAAAACCATTAAAAGGCTTTAGTAATTTAGTTGTTTGAAACTAAAGGCAGAGACCCTTCTACAATTAAACTGCATTTTGAAAATAAGTCACTATCCATACAATGCTTTAAGAAAAAAAAAATCATTTGAGCAGGAAGTGAAATTACTGCACTTTGGTTTCTCCTCCCCGTCCTAATGTCTTCCAAGAGTTGGGTTCGTTCAACAAAAACATACGCATTGATTTTTCCTCTTATAGGACGGTACTGACTTATTCTACTACACACTGTCCTTCAGGCCTATGAAATAACTAGGTTTTTCACTATTGAAATATATTGGATATATATTTTTTGCTTTACTTAGAGATACACTGCAGATAATTACAGTGCCTATTAATAAAGTGACAATAGTATCACATGATGACAAATCTAGCTGTTAAATCTGCCAGCAAACTGTCACCGTTGCCCTCCTGATATTGGGAGTAATGCTGAACAGGAGGAGCCTTCTCTGAACTGTCTGGTTATTTGAGCGAGTGTTTGGCGAGACTTCCAACTACAGCAACTTCATAACCTTCCAGCATTAAAAGGGGAGTGCACTGGTCACTGCTGAATGCTAAAAATACCACATGATTTAAACCTGGAGGCAGTCTTAGAAGCTTTTGCTGAAGGTTTATGAGCCTGTGTAAACAGCACGTCTGCCATAAGGAGCAGTGAAGTCTGTAGAATCCTTGTCTAAAACTGTCCTGGCATTAAAGTTTGCTGTGCAAATATCACATAATACCAGAGACAGCTGAAATCTCCTATTTAGGAATTTATGGAACTTATATGTGTGCAGGCGTCAGAAAGTCTTTTTTATAGAGCCCCAGTGCTTCACAGTTACAATATTAATGCACTCTGTTTGAAAAGCTGTAATAAATTATATTTTTAATGCTCTTACCCTGGCTTTCTTAAGATGCATACATTCTTGGCAAACAATCAATAAATAGGGTAATCATGAGTAGAGGCCAAAGAATTTGCTGAAGTGCTGTTTTTCCATTTTTAATAGATAAAGATCTAACAATACGGACTGCTGTGTCTGTTCATTTCAGGATCAATATATTCTTTGTTTTCGCCAAACCAAGGAAAAAATAAATGATTGTATGATAAATGTTATGCATCAAACACAATGAAATTCCTCTGCCTTCTAACTTGATCTACTTAATATTCTTGGTTGCTAAAAGATGGCATTTTTATCCTTTGCCTGGCAAATGTAAGGAGAATCTGAATCCTATCCACATTTATTCAGAGTCAAAATAAAGACCATTATGAAGACACATTATAACCCCCACACACACTGCTTTACACGCACACACTGTGTGGAACACAAAGTTGTTAAACTGCATCAATTTAATATAAAATTGATAGAAAGGAGTCACGGTTACACCTCCTCCCCTTATAAACTTGTCTAAATCTGAGCTTCCTTTATCAAAAATACCCAATTATGGCAAAAATCAAAAACTAGAATCATCAGGTTTTTTCCTTGCTAAATAAATACATTTGACCTTAAGAAAACAAGCCACAAAATGACATAAAACTTTTATACATCATGTCATGTAAGATTTCTATTACCTCTGAAACTGCCTTTTACAACTAGTAATCTTATGAAAAAGCTAGAGCAGTACTGAAACAATTTAAGTGTCTTATTCTCAATAGGGGTGAGTTTAAGCAATAGCCACCTATATACACATGTATCCTCTGCTACAGTAACACCTACTCAGCGGAAGCCTCGCGTAGCTAAAGACCATCATACAGAACTCAATCTATGTTATCCTAAGTGTCCAGTGATTCCAGTCTATAGGAGTAGAGTGAGATGTTCCACTCACAGAGCCTCCACTTTCAAACTGACACTGCAGCCAGAGATGTAACAAATTTCAGATCAGAAAGAGAATCAAGGAAAAGAACATCCACAGACATGTTCTGCCTCTCCACCCCCACAGAAAGTGGCCTTGGGCGGGCAGACACAGGGCTCACAGCTTTCTAGGATTTGGCTGGAAAGCATTTACCTTTCCTAAGGTTGGTTTTCATCAGATGGCCCGAGTGTTTTAAAGGCACTCCTTGCATTTTTCCACCTGTACTTCCAAGCCTTCCTCTTCCTAGTGGGCTTCCGTTCTGCTCCAGGCGGGCAATCTTGGCTGGTGGACCCTTCGGATCACTCACATTGTTAGACATTTCTGAATGTTCTTTCCCCTGAGTTGCCTCGTTCAAATGATCCATACTCAGTTACCCTCTAAAGATCACCTGCCAGAATTTAAAAAGACGACGACGTTAGAATTGGTTGGGTGGGAGTCTCTCTCTCTCTGTATTTATACACATATAACACACAAACACTTTACCTCTAGATATCTCTCTTCACAAATGTAAGGTATTTGTAAGATTTTTCAGCTAGATATATAATACAATGCAGATGTTAACTCTGTTTCTAGATAGCAGCATCACAGATCCATTCAAGACAACAGAATAATTTGTGAAAACTGTACCAACACACATGAATGAAGGGTAATTTGTCACCTACCAAACAAACTAAGTAGGGGGAAATGGACTTACTATTAAAACAACAGTCACCACAAGTATAGCTGGAAAGACAATAAATTACGTTATGGAGTCCCAATTTTTAAAAATTAGAAACTCATTACAGAACATCAGCATTTTAATCAAGGAAAAAAATTAACATGGTTCAAAACATTCATTATATGTGATATATAGAGGACATATAGCTTAATTTTTATAAGAACAAAATAGATTTATATACATATACCACCTCAGAAAAAAGTAGCAAACTTCTAATTCTTAAACTCCCCCATTGACTTTACAGGTTAATTTGTACAAAAAGTTTTCTATTAACAAAGTTTCAAGAGGTATGTGACTGGCTAAATGTCTAATCAAGTCTTGGCTCAAATGTATGACGGGATCATTTCACCCCTAAACAAATGGATATCAGTGAGTTCTTCAAATATCTCAGGTACTGAGGCATCAGAACTCACATTTTTTAGAGTTAATATTTTAGGAGAACATTAGTTATAAAATGCTGTTAATTTAAATAGCAAAAATCTTGAAAATACTTTGTAACATAAGCATTAGATTCAAGAACTAAAATCATCTTGATTTTGGTAAAACACAACTGTCAGTTTTCAAAAATAATTTCAGTATGCAGTGAAGTCAACATCTTGATTAACTTCAAAAATTGATCATTATTTTCAGTTACACAATGGACGTCAATGTTCACATGGTTTACGATAGAGCACTGAGTACAACATCCAACGCACTTCTGAAATACAGTTTTAAGTAGCATTGATAAGAAAGGGTAAGTGGAATTATTTTATGAACTTTCACAATACTTGAAGTATTGAGCTTATCAACACTAAGGGGGAGGGGGCCCTATGTAGGAAAATCAGATAGAATATGATAATCACTACTTTCTTCCAGGTGTCTAGTAATGACATCTCTCGCACTTTAAAAAAATTATTATATTGGAGGAGCTATTTAGATCTGATTTATTGAAAGCCAGCTTATACCAGCACGGCTTTTCTATATGCATATTTTTCTTCTGTTTAACCACAGATTACTTTGTCCATTATAATCAAGAAGTGAATGAGGAGGAGGGCACCATGGTAATCTGTAGGCTTAAAGGCAACCTTAAGAATGCCAATTGAAGAACTCTAAAGTTTGAGAAATAATGGCTATTTATCCTTGTACTCCAGGGTGGCACACTGAGAACTAAAGGTTTACCGTTGATCGAGGTCCCATCTGTTTTTGGTTATGAGGTTCATTAACAATAAATGTGCCTCTTTTAACCACTTTTTATCAAGATTACTCTTTTCCATTGTATTAAAACTAAAGCCAAAATTAGAGAGCAATGATTATTAACTTATTCAAAACACTCTTTATAATGTTAACACGTGGATTAAAAGACAGAGCTGCTTTTTTGGAAATTGGGTGCCTTGCCCTAGAGCAGAAAATGAATTTTAAAACCTCTGATTTGAAAAGAAAATACTTAACCCATGGGGGCAGTTTAGAAAAGAAAAAAGTAGACAACAGCATCAAAGTTAATGCTACAAAATATATTGAGTAGTCATGAGGCTTAGTAGCATTATGAACTATACAGCAAAAAAACTGATCATTTAGTTGATGTATTGACAACCAAAACATCATATAGGTCATGCAAAATTGTCCTTCCAGTCCCCACCTATAAGCATCTATTAAACACTCACTCATCTTGTAAAAAGCTTTACATTATAAAGCAAAATTACATGCACATAAAACACCCAATTTACTCATTTAAACTCTGTGCCCAAGGCTAAAATAAAGTTCACCAAACCTCAGTTTGGAATTGCAAAGAGCAGTCTTCACTAGGCCAGCTGCACTGACAGCCCAGGAACTAACTACAGCCTCCACAGATGCCAAGCCCAAGAGTTTCTTTTGAGTTACACATTTTTAAATCCATTTTCGTGTAATGTCTGGTTGGCACACAATAACCAGGCTACTTTTTCAAAATCCCATTTCCCTGTCCATAAACTAAGTCCATATGTGATAATTACTGTATAAAACAGTGAACTCAGACACAGCAATTATTTCCCTTTAAAAGAAAAAGAAAAGCATGAAATTCCGGTTTCAAGAAGCTATTTTTTTTTTTCAGTATGGGATCTTTTTCAACGAATTCCTTGCTAGATGGCCTCCCTCGCCCCGACAGAACCCCATAATCACATTTTAAGAGATTGTGCCCTTATCCATTCCATATGGCCGGCACGATCCAGGCCAAGCTTTCACTGTGACCTTTTAAAGAGACAAAGAAGCAAAGTACTATCTAGAAACAGAAACACTGCAGTTTTACTGAGTGAAATTAGCAAAACCGACCTGAAACTCACCACTTCAAAACTTGACAGCATATAAATAACAAAAACAAAGGAGATTTCCTTTGCAGCCCGGGTTCTTGAAGAGAAGTTCAAGACTGTTTTCTGTCCTTTTTTTTTTTTAATTAAAAAAAAAAAAAAGCAGCAGACCTGAAGGCGACTTCCCCTGAAATTGTATTATTTTCTCTTCCCCTACCCCCGCCCCCCTAAGCGGGGGAAGGGCAGAAATAAACGTCTAGAAGAGTAGCCATGGGGGGTGGGGGAAGTGTTAAAAATCACAATTCGAAAAACAACATCAACATATATGGTTTGTAAAATGTCTAACCTCAGAGAACGGGGTTTTCGATGAGGGAGGAGGGGAGAGTGGGAAGTAGGGAGGAGGGCGAAGATAAAATTGATCTGACAAGTGATTCGTTGGGGGAAGAATCGTAAAAACAAAGCAAAACCCGTTATGAGCTGTAGACTGTGGTGGAGCTGGGGAGGCGAGGTGGTGACAGAGGATTCTCTTAAAAAGAAAAGAAGAAAAAAAATCACTGCGGACAAGGTCTCCAGAAAGGGGAAAAAGGTCCCCTCGCTTTCCTCCCCCCTCCCCCCAGCTCGCGGGGGTTTCTCGGTGCGAGCAGAGAAAGTCTGCTCGGGCTGTCACTTGCGATATTATTCTCCAATGACCCCGCGGAACGCAGCGAGGGGAAGGCCACCTACGCCTCCCTTCCCATCGCCCCCGCCGCCCTCCCCAACAATCGCGACTAATATTAACAAACCTTAAACTTTCTTCCCACAGCCTCGCGCCCTCAACAAGGGATTCTACCGGGGAACAGCGAGGGTGGGGGGCAGGAGGTCGCGAGAAAAGCCCCAGAAAGGCACTAAGATGCCACTTTTGACTCGGCCCTCGCTGACAACAGCCCCGAGGACACTCTCAGTGCCCATGGACGCGGGGCTGCAAGTGTCAGGGGAGCCGAGCGAGTGGAGGCAGGGAGGGGGGAAGGGCACGGGGGAGGGGGAGAGAATCGGAAGGCACCCCCGGCCACCTCCACCGCCTCAGCAGCCACTAACTCCCCGCCCCCTCCCCCCAAAAAAGTCTCCGGGCTCTCACTCAGCCCGAGTCCGAGGTAAACAACGAGCACCACAATGGCACTAGGACTTGGGGGCAAAGAAACCCAGAAACCCCAGCAAAACTGATGAGGAGTTTCCCAAAACGGAAGAGGGGGGTGGGAAGCGTCCTCTGGAGTCGCCCCGGCTTTCTGCTCGGTCCCCGGGCAGTCTAGAGGGCGGCCGCGGCTGTTGTTGTTGTGACGAGGCCGGTTGTTGCTGGGTGGCACAGGGAGAGGTGTGTGTGTGCGCGCGTCGGTGTGTGTGCGTGTGAGTGCGAGTCCCCGGACGGGGCTGTTGCTCTCCCTCGCTCTCTCGCTCTCCCCCTCGCTGCCGTCTCTGCCCCCATTAAATTATGAGTTGACTCATCCCGGCCGCTGTCGCCGCCGCCGTGCCCAGCTCGGCTCCGCGCGTCCGCCCGGGCTGCAGCCCTCTCCGCCGCCGCTGCTGCTGCCGCCGCCGCTGCTGCTGCTGCCGCCGCCGCCGCTGTGGCTGCCTCTTCTTCCTCCTCCTCATTTTAATACAAAATCACCCCGCTCGCAGCCCCAGCCCCGAGCACGCAGCCTCCTCCCGGCCGCCCGCCGCCGCCCCGAGCCCTTCCCCAGCGGGGCCGGCTCCTCCGCCGCGTCCGGGGAGCGGGAGCGAGCGAGAAAGTGGCGGCGGCGGCGGCAGCGGAGGAGGGGGGAGGGAGAGGAGGAAGAAGGGGGTGCGGAGTGGAGGAGGAAGGCGGCGGCGGGGGGGGCAGGGTGCAAGGAGAAGGCGGAAAAGGGATGGGGATTAAAACCCGGGCTGGAGGGCCGGGATCCGGGGAGGGGGCGGGGGCGGCGAGTTAAAAAGCAGAAAGACAAGTAACTAGTGAATGAGCGAGGGAAGGGGAGGGAGGGAGCGCACAATTTCCGGCCCCGGGCGCGCAAGAATTTGTAATGAGCTTGATTAGAGTGAGGCGGCCCGACATTTATTACACACAATACCCAGAATAACAGGGCGCCGCGCGAGGGCTAGCGCCGGCCGCCGCCAGGCGCGCCAGGGCGGGCGCGAGGGGAGGAGGGGGCTCCGCCGGCGGCGGCCGCGGCGGGGAGGGGAGCGCGCCGCGCGGGCGGCTGGGGCAGGTGTGCGCGAGGGAGCCGGGCGGGAGGAGGGGCCTGGCTGGGGGGTGAAAGTGGGGGGGAGGAGGGGGCGAGGGCCAGGGGAAAAGCCAACCAACCACCCACACGCCGCAAAAGCCACAAAAAGGAATCTGTCGGGAGCGTCCCAGGCGGGCACCCCAGGAACCGGCGAGGCGGGGAGAGGGACCGGACACGCAGGTGACAGGCCGAGAGCGCGGAGGTAGGGGGACTTCAGGAAGTGGCTGCAGGGGACGATCGGAAGGGAGAGCACTCTCGGGCAGCGCAGCGGGTGCAGAAGCGTTTGCAGAGGAATAAAGGCCAAGATGCTTAGAACGCTCTCGCGAATATTTATCCTCAAAGAGGATGAATCCTAAAGTATTTCTAGGGCCAACGTTAAAACAGCCTGAGTGAGAGCTTTCTGTGCAAGTCAGAGGTAGGTTCAAAACTCCCTCGCTTCTGAGGCAGAAAGCACGTTGGAGGAAGAAATAACGTGGCTTATAGTGGCCGAGTTAAACAAAATTTGGGTCACTTAAAACACACCTCACTTGTTATTAAAAAGGAAAAGGTGCCACAATTCTTAAACTAATTACACACCGGGCGAAAGACGAAGTTGGGCGGGGGGGGGGGGGGGGGGGACGTGCGCAAAATACATCTATGGTTGCAATAAGTACTTCTGCAGTCTAGGGTGAGTTGCCCAGTTAGATAAATGGTCATTAGCACACACGTATGATCCTCGTACTTAGATAGTCTATTAAATGTAATTTCCATAAAAATGAACATGACAGTCTCACTCAACATAGAGATGCAGTGTTTATCGCTTACGTTTGAGCGCTCAGTCCCTATAGGTAGTTAATCATTACACAAAAACAAAAATATAAGGATTATTTTTCAGAAAACACTAGTAGGGAAAAGAGAAAAATCAGTCAGATAAACATTTTGTCACACATAAAAAAGCAACAAGTTAGCACAAGTACTGAGATAAGAGGGAAATATGCAAATTGAGCTCTTTAAAGCTACCAATACACACTTAGAGACACTGTTTACATTGGAAATCTAAGAAAAGCAGAAGGTGAAGCAGAAGATAAAGTATAGGAAATAATGGCCTCCTGGGGAGGACAAGTTTAGGAGACACACAATGAAAATCTATCACTCTAATGGCACCCAAGTTTCACCCACAAACCAAAAGGTTAGTCAAAATAAAGGAAGGCAACCATGAATCTTGACACATATAAACCCAAGCCTGGAGCAAAAGGAGGAACATGTGATAATAAAACACAGCATCACAAACCAGGAAATAACCCAAATGAGATTACATTTTTAAAAGTTGACATGTAGGGAAATATGGAGAAGAATACCTTAATTCGAGTATATAATATAATAAGGACATATTTAAAAGAGATAGCAATCAATTATATCTATAATGACAATGATTTTTGCTACATGATAGGTTGTTAGGAATTTCTAAGATGTATATTTTAACAGTTGCCCTGAACTGGTAATGACATATTTTCCTGAAACCTGCCTGGTTTCAGTAGGGACAGTGCATTCTTGTGTCATGCTGCACAACTGTATAAAAATAGTGACATAAAAATATTAAGAAAAATTATAGACTGCAAAAAAAAGTATCCATACAAGTTCACCTGAAGTTGAATGTGTTTAAAACAGGAAAAACAAAGTTTGTGCAAAGAGGAGAGTTAAGAAAGAGACACTGAAAATATCAGTATTAAGACACATTAGAATAAATACTAAAATATGTTTATCCCATCATTTATACAATAAACAAGACAAAAAAGTTCTTGATTGCTTTAGCCTCCTAATGATCTGGCAAATGTCAAGGAAATGTGGGAACTAAAATAATAATCTTTAAATCTGAATAATATCTTCCATCCAGTAATTACAAACTAATTCTCTAACACAAAACATAAAAAGTAAGTAATAAGGATGAACATGGCCTTGGAAAATATGATAAACAGAATAAACAAGGATAAAGACATCTAATAATGACATTATTACAACAAATAATGATATAGTGCAATTATGACTATAAATCACACATACATACTAATATCCCCTCAAGCTCTTGCTTTATTATACAGCTATATAAGAAATAACATTAAGTGATACAGAGGTTGTGCCCTCCAACTCAAATAGTACAATGATAAACTTAATGGCTATAAATTATCCCTCAAAAACACTCATTGTAGCAACTGAGCATTGGTTGGTGTAAACCCAGGTTAAAAGAAAAAAGAAAAGAAAGGTAATTAGAAAAATGCCACCTTCCTGAGCATGTGTGAGATAAACTATCAAAGGGGAAAGACATTCTTCTACACAGGCAACTACTATTTGGCAATAAAGATTCAAGCAAGTATTGGAAAAAGTTAAAACAAAATAAACTTTATAAATCAATATATCAAAATAGTAAACCTCAGGAACATGAAATACTGCAAGTCAAATACATGAACTATTTAACATGTGGATACAGTTAAAACAAAGTGCATCAATTTTTTATCGCATGAGAAGGCATTCAGATTGGCTACAAAAAAAAGGGGTAGCAAAGATAAAATATTGTAACAGATACACAAGATTTTTTCAAGTTAATAATGAAAGGACTACTGCATGTTTCAGATGGCACCGTATTAAGATAAATATGCAGGCAGATATCCGAAAGCATTAAAACACATTCAGAGTTCTGAATAGCACATACATTTGTAATAAACAGAGAAAGCATTTAGAATTTGAACGCTTTTAAGATATGGTAACTCCGCCAGTGACTGTGTTAGCAAAGCAATGCTTACCACCATAGCACTTTCTAAGGACATTTTTTCCCCATCTTTTTAAATTCAAATACAGTTGGCTATCTCTCTGCACTTTTAAAGCAGCACAATTTACGTAGCATATTGCTCTTTCTGTCATGTCAACTCTTTGTTATTTTGGCTTTAGCTGCAGGTGGTGTTTTCCATATATGAGTTTCTGGGAATATGGTCTATCTTGGCCATATAAGGATGCCTATTTGAGCCATATGTTTTGCTGTCATGTGTCTCATTTTGTCTGTCTGGGATGTCAGGACTGATTTCCACATCATTTCTTGAATATACCAAATACAAATGTGTAAGAACAGAGAGGAAAAAGCTGGGGCTGGAGCCCAAACAACTTTGTCAAAACACATAGCAGAGAGGAAATGCAATATCCTGTAAACATTTGCACCCTTCTTCTCACATCTTATCTGTGACTGACATCATCACAACTGCATAGTTTAGGACAGAATCTACTTGCTCAAGTTCAGAAGTTTGCAGTATGTGCATGCATGCAGCTTAACCAGACAGCCCCCACATCTTCGGAGGTCATGGCAAGGCACACTTAGCTGCCCTACTCTGAGAGCCATGGGCCCTGCAGCCAGCTTGACCCAGCCTTGAACTTGGGGAAGGGGAAGGTGTCTCAGGCTTTTCTTGTTTTAGTGAATAAACGAAACTCTGATTAAACTTTTTGACTCATCTTACAAGTAAAGCCCTCATTTTACACTCTCATAGCCTCCTGCATTTCTCTTTTGTAAGTCATCACAGTCTTAATCAAATAACAAACTGGATCATTGTTGGTTTAATAAGTGTCTCCCACACTAGACTGAAAGCCCTATGTGGACAGACATGATGCATCTTGCTCACTGCCATATTATCAGGAATTCATATCCTGTCCTTGCAATGTTTACATTATGAATATTTATTCAAATAAATGAGAACAGAAAGTTCAGTGTCACTTGCAACCAACTCCCACTGCTAACTGCAATGACAATTCCTTTTAGAGAATTGTAGAAGTGCAAAGGAGGTATTGGAGGAGGGTGGCTATATCATTTAAATTTGAATTGAAATTAAATAAAATTTACAGCTGAGTTTCTCGGTCACGTTTCAAGTGCTTAATAGCCCCCTGTGGGTTTTGGGTAGTGTAGATTACAGAATACTTCCACTGCTGCAGAAAGTTCTATTGCATAGCACTTATGGAGTGAACTTTCTAAAGGATGACTAAGTAAATCCAGGGCCTGGCCAGGAGTCTTAAAGGTGGTGAATGGCTTTTAGACATTCTAATAATGCACAAATTGAAGTCATTTTCCATTTTAGAATTAGCCCAAAGATCTATAAAGTTGCATGCAAAGACGACTTTCTAGACATGTCTGTATTTGAAAGGGTTCTGTGGTACATCTGGAATAATATGCATTTACCCCAAACGCTACTTTCCGTAAGCATTTAAAAAGCTCATAGGTGATGTTAAAAACCTCAGAGTCATTCCCCATCCTCACTCCCACCCCCCACATTAAATAAGCATAGTTGCCATTAGAAA